CCCGCTACGCAACATGAGTTACTACCTAGGTGGAGCATTATCCATACCCAGTTGAACGTAACGATGACATTGTCATGTAGTTATGAGATTGCTTCTTCGATGTGTTAAGTAAAGTTCCTGTTCGGACGAACAATTAGTTATCAATTATCCAACCATTATAATTATACATTCATAACGTTACAACGTTTACGCAACACAGTATTTTTCATTTATATAACAGCATCAAAACATAGCCATATGTTGGTTAAGGAAATTATTAAATGTTCGCTACGAAGGAACGTATAGTGAAACCACTACACTATGAGTCGACGGAAAGATTCGCCTTGTATTGATACAAATAATAATATTAACACAACATTATTAACTCTCATTCATAACGAACGTTTTACTTAGTTCTCGAACATGATCGTTTATAGTAAACGTATTAACATTATTCGTAATCATCGTAGTTATAGTAAAACCTACTTCCGTAATCGCTACGCTTATTGTCGTTAAGCTCCTTCTTCATGATAGTCACTTCGGGAGACTTGAATCGCTTACAATAAGTTAACGACAAAAGTCTAACGAGGTTTCGTTATGCATTTAATCCAAATATTAAGATAAATCGTCGATCAGGGTCCATATGCAATGTTAATGTCGATCATGTGAATAACAAAATTAAAAATTATACGCTTAATAGATTTTTTGCGGAATATGAACTCCCCAAAAATTGGGGACTATGGCGATTTTTATATACGTTAGAGTAACCCTCGGTAGAGTTAGTCCTTGTGTTTCCATATTAATATATTATGTCCTTTGTCTGCTGCACAGCCACAACAAATCAACTAATAAATACTACTAATCTTCGCCCGCAAAAATTTGTTTCGAAATCATGTATGCTCAATCAACGTTGCAAATTCTGCCATCAATCATTATTCTGTTTTCTGTTTTGGTTGATGCTCTTCCTATCACCGCTGGTGAGAATTTATCAGGGAGTCCGTTACAACCTGTTACTGAGTCGGTCTTTGATTTGATGGCTACTGTTCTAATTGCATCAGTCATAACAATTGATGTTGATAACATTAAACGTGATGAGAAGGTTTTAAAAAGAATGTTCGAGTTTTTTTCTGTATTGCTTCTTGGAGTAATTGGTGCACTGCAACTTTGGTTCTCTATTAAAGCTTACAAAGATACCAAGGATTTTTTTTTTATTGCATATATTATAACAAATATTGTGTTGGCTGTAAACACTGTTGTCGGATGGATGCTGTTGGGCGGGTGTTGTTCTGATATAAACATGAGAATTCCAATTATGTTTCGTATATTTTTTCCCTCTGTATTTACAGTGTGCAGAGATTTTGTTTTTGCTATTTTGGCTGTGAGTCGGGAATATGTGGATCGATTGACTTGTTGGTTCGTGTTCGGACCTATCCTTGTGGCATTTGTTATTGGGATAATGGTGTTTATATATCTTCTAAAGTCTCCTCATGACAACTTTGACGACTTAATAGAGAAAGATACACTTAAGTCACTGGTAACTTTTGGGAGAAAAGTGCGGAGGGCAACATGGATACTTAAATTTTGTTCTCAGTTGCTGTTTTGTTTAATAGTTGTACCTTCAATTCTTTGGATAAAGGCCTTGATTACTTTGGCTTTTATATGTTTTACAATGGAAGATATTTCTTTAAAATTACACCATAAAATTAAAGCGGGCGAACCCGTAAACACGGAGACGGCAAGCGAACCCGTAAACACGGATACGGCAAGCGAAACCGTAAAAACGGAGACGGC